CTTGTTTTCCGAGCCCCGCAGCCGGAGCGTGGCGCTCCTGCGCAGCTGGGCGGCAAGATGCAGAAGAGCGAGGGATGCCACGCAAAGCAACGAAACAAGTCACAGGCACACTTCAAATCAGACCACGCATCGCTTGCAGTTCACTGCGGCACAGAGCAAGGATCGATGCGGCAACGAAGCGCGGCGAAGGGGGCGTTGGCCGCCCGAGGGGCACGAAGGGGGCCGGTTTCGCCAAGTTCCCCTGCCCCTCCTCCATCATGCGGTCTCCCGGGGCCGCCGCGGGAATTCCGATGTGATATTTGCGCGCGCCAAGGGCGCCCAGGAAGGGAGCGAAGGTACACATTACTTAATCTATTGATCTTAACAAAGCCCAAACAACGCGTGCGCCCACAGCAATCGCTTCCAGCAGCCACTCAAACATGTCGCGCGTGCTGCGCTGGCAAGAAACTCAAGCTCAGCAGAGGGCAAGGGGCAAGTCCGGTTCTCGCCCTGCATGATGTAGCGTTTCTCCACTTGGGCCCAGCGCAAGCTGCACTTCACGTTCGGGGCGCGCTCCTCGACGGCGCCCCGCCCCCCCCCCCCGCGTGATGTCGTAGGCCGCGGCCCCCGGGGCCGCGGCAGAAGAGTGGCCGGCGCCGCCGGGCGAGGAAGCAGATGCGGCCGATGCGGCCGCTGGAGATCCACTCGGCCCGCCGCTGCCGCACGCGCCAGAACTGGCGACAGCCGTGAGATCAGACTTCAGACCGCTGGCTGGGTCTGGTTCCAACCAACAAAGACCGAGGCGCCAAACCCCCCCCCTGCCCGGAGCCACGGCGATTGGGTTCGGGGGCGGTTGGGGGGAGGGCGCGATGAACGGCGACGCCCAGCCGTCCTCTCAACGCAAGGACAACCTAAGATCATAACCACAAATACTGAACCGATCGGGGGTGAAGCACAGCACTTCGGCACGGGGGCGCCGCGGGCCACGCGGGCGCCCGGCGCCCTCGTCGCCCAGCCAAAGAGGCCATCGGCGCGCAAGCGCAACATGCTCAACATGCCCCGCGCGCGCACACTGTCACAGCTTTGCCACGAGGAACGGAACTTAGAAGAGATGTGCGAGGAGTGCCCGAGGAGCCGCCTAAAGAAATACCAAAGGAACTTGGCTTTTCGCAGCGGCTTTTATCCCAACGCCTTGGCCGCGCGCTGGGAGCGCGCACTCGTTTGCAGTTGTGCGGCGGGGCGCGCGTGCGTGCGCGCGCGCGCATCGTGCGTATAGTTTGGTGTGTGCGCGTATGCATATACGTATAGATATAATTGCACGCGTGCATATGTTCTCGCGCGCTCTCGCGCGCGCGCTAGTCAGCGCGCCGCGATGTCTGCAATCGCTGTTCCTCCCATGTCGAACGGAGTGCTTCAGAGCGGCACTGCCCGCGCCATGCGCCCCATACAAACAGCCGAAGACATAATTTGAGGCCTTGCTCGGCCCTCCCCTTCTCGCGCCGAAGCGCGCCCCGCAACATTGGGGGCGACGCGCCGGTCGGCGTTCGCATGGCGCTCTAACCAGCGGCCCTAACGGGCTTCGCCGCAGTCAGAGGAAACGGAACTTCATCATAGAAAATGTCGCCGCCCGCAATGTCAGTCACAGCATTCGGCTGATGGCAGACGAGTGGGGCGGGGATCTCACCAGGGCCCCCCAGAGATCTCGGTCCGAGGGTCTCGCAGCCAGCAGATCGCCAATGCAGCAGGTATTGCCCATTTCCCCACCCAATCTTTCCGCAATCTTACATGCTCACATGGCCCTTCTGCCTTCTAAGGGGAATCAATCCGCAAATCTGTTGATCTCCTGGCGGCCCCTAGGTGCACTCCCCACCCAACCTGTCTGCGGTGTGAGCACTGGGGTCCACAGCGTTTATCGTCATCTTTTTTGTCGGCGGCGGCGTGCAATGTGCCGTGGTGGTCCAAAACGAGTCGTCCTTGACTTCGAAGAGATCGCATCATTCCCTCGTCGGCTGCTTCTCCTTCTCCGGCGAACCTGGGGCACCAGCGACATCATGAGTTGACATTATTTGGGCGGGGTCTGGGGTTTCGGGCTGTCTGATCTCTCGGGGCACTGGGAACTGTCGACGACGATGCTCTCTGCCATTCGCGCGCAGACGCCATCGCTCGCGGCTCCTGGCCGCGACTGGCGCCAGGGGCCGACGCAGACCTCGCTCGGTTCCAAGACGGCCCCGCGGCGAGGAGGAGGAGGAGGACGGGGAGGGAGAGGGCGAGGTGGAGGAGTGGGGGAGGAGAAGGAGGAGAGGGAGGAGGCAGAGACAGGCTCGCGAACCTGCAGGCGGGGACCACCAAGGCAGGGGCGATGGGCGGCCTCTCCTGAGTTTTGACTTCGGGAGAAAAGGGGTGAGGGATACATGCGCTAGGGGCCCTTAGGAGTTGGGCCCCAGAATACGTATTCCACAAGAAACCCAACCCTCGCACCCCAGGATGTCCCTTGGTTTTTGGCGTGGGAACTTGGAACGTTACGCATCGCAACTCCGTCAAAAACAAATGCCAGGGCACCGTGGGCCCCCCCGCTGCATGGAGGAAGAGGTGGAGGGGGGATGCAGGGCAGTGCAAGAGAGGATGATGTCCAGGGCGCCGCACTGTACAGCGTAATCCACTTTCGCTTCCATAGACGTTCAATCTGCAAGTCAAACTCACAGCATGGATGCGTACATTGGCGCGGAAGCAGGTACGACAGTCAGTGTGCGCGTGGAACTGCACTGCGTTGATGTAGCGCGCACTTTGCTATATGTGCATGTGCGGAACTTGTGCGTGATTCTGTAATATGTGTACATTCGTACCCACATCGCAGGTTACGCGTGCGCGCATGCACTGTCGCCCGACCCCTCCGTCAGGCCCTGACACAAACTGCGCATTCCTTTATGATCGAGCGCCGCCCCCCCCCCGCACGACGGAATTTGAGCGAGGACATGCTCCGCGTTGCCCCTCCAGACGTCGAGGCAGATGCCGGAGCAGAGCCTGCGACGCCTCCGAGGCCGAGCCCAAGGTAAGCCGCCCGAGAGCCTTCCCGCACGGAAGGAAGACCATGCTTGATCCGTGGCAAGACAGCGCCGAGAAGCTGTCCGAAAACACCCCCTGACCATCCGGGCGACCCGATGCCGGGTGGGAGAGGCTCTCGCCGCCGAGACGGAGAAGGGCCGAGGAACGCAAGGTCAGGGGCCAACCGGCCCGGGCGCGACCAGTCGACCCGAGGGTTTGCCCCCTGCAGCGGCGTGTCCAGCGGTAGACAGCACGGGACGACAGCCGCTGGGCGATCCCACGAGGATATTGGCCAAAGCCTTACGGCACTACGAGGCTTACTACGATATGGACCCCAACACGACAGAACCCCTGCATGTGCGGAAACGCGCGCCTAGAATCGCTGGATAGTCTCGGAAGGATCACCGGAGCCTAGACCAGATAGTCCAGCAAGGAGCGCTCCCTGCGGGCTTCCAACCAGATGGGCCACCGACCTTTCAAGGCCCACCTACTATGTATGGAACGAGCTTCACCTACGAACGAATCGAGTCCCGAATGCCTCGACCCGGCGCTGGGAGGTCAGCGCTTGCCTAGAGCCCTGGCCGAGCCGTCAGGGCTGGCCCCAACGTCCAAAGCAGCGATGAGCACCCAAAAGCAATGCACATTGGACGGAGACGACAGGATCATCTAGACTTCGAAGTCCCAAGGATCGACTTTGACTTATCAGTTGGGGCTGAACTTGACGAGCAAGGTCGAGCCGAAGATGAGCTAGCCGATTTGGGGCGACAAGCATAGAAACCCGCAGGACCCTCAGGACTTCGTGGAAAGCTTCGAGGGCATCTGCAGCATGGTGAATAACGCCACAAGCATGAAATGGTACAAAATGATTATGACCATCGGGAACTGCCTAAGGGACAACGGGAAGATGATCTACGACAATATCATCCTGGATGCCAGAGGCGACGGGCAATTCCCTGAGGAGTTCGGAGAAGATATCCATGAGATCTGGGGGCGGCTTCTGCAGTTCATGGAGACCCCAGGCGAGAAGCAGATCAGGGGTCGTACCGAAGAGTGGCACAACTTTAAGAAGTTGCCAAGCGAGAACTGCCTGGACTTCGAAGCCCGATGGTAGCGCATCACAGGAGCATGCGGAAAGTAAGCCTGGTACACCGAGGCCGAAGACTTCGTGGACTACGTCGCGAAGCTCGGAAAGATGTGCAGCGCTGTGATCTGGTTCGACAAGCGGGATTTCCCGAAGAAAAACGGAGGAACGGAGTGCAGGACGCCGAATACCTGGCAAGAAGCCCACACGGTCGCGCGCGAAATCGTACGCGCTATTCGAGACAGCCAAACGATAATCCACGACAGCCCCTCCGGAGAAATGGATCTGGACCTCATGCATTACCTGGGCCCTCAAGGCGAAAGTACGCGGGTGAGTGGTGTCGCGGAGCAAGTTCCCGACCCACCTCCGCCGTACGGGATAATTTCCAGAGACGCTGGGACGCGGTCATCCACTGCGCGAGATCCGGCACAACGTGGCCCATGATAGGACTCCCGACTCCCAAGAGCACCCAAGAGGCCTCTCATAGGCCTCTTCTCTACGACCTAGGTACAATGGCTGAATAGGCCGAAGGCACCGAGGTGTTTTCTCGTACCCGGAATGCCCAACTCTAACGTCAAATACCAAGACCGCTGAACAACTGCTTTCCCAGAAAACATGTTTTCCGAGACGAGCCCAACCGTGGTGTCGACGCATCCTCGCCGCGGGCGGTTAACACGAACCCACAAGAGCTCATGATCATGGTACTGCTGCTGCTCCTGATCATACTGCTCCACCTAGTGATCCTCCCACTTCTACTGCGGCTTCCTCCTATTTCTCCTCCTCATACTGGTCCTCCTGCATGTGCTGCTACTGCTGCTGCTCCTCCTGCTGCTGCTGGTCATGACCCCTCGTCCTCGTGCTGGCCGAGATCCCTGGCCGAGGTCAAATCGCGGCCCGCCTCGGGAACGTCGAGGTCCAAGAAGGTGTTCTTCACCCGCAGCGGCACTGGGAACTCGGTGGTCCTGAAAGTTGTGGCCTGCAGCGTGTGTTCACGCGGGGGAGGCAGGGCAAAGCCAGAATGGAAGAAGAGGATGATGAGAGGCAGCGGAAGCGGCAAAAGGAAGAGGAGAGCATCAACAGGAACACCAAAACCAGAGATAACATTTCTGAACCTGATTGCGTAAAGGTCGTTGCCGGTGGTGGGGGGGTTTGGGCCCCGGGGAAAGATGACGTTTGGGGCGGGGTGCGGCACGTCTGGGCGGGTGTGCGCTGCGGTCGCCATAGTATGCGCGAGAACCTGCGCAAAGCCTGGGAACACCGACAGGGCGCCTGCAAGCACTGGCAGGGCGCCTGCGGAGCACCTGCGAGCCTCACAAAATGCCTTCGGGCACCAACTAATGTGGGGGGTGGGTCCAAGCCCCCCCCCCCGTACGGTCGTTACCGTTACCCAAGCGCCAATACTCTTACGCCGTTACCGTTACCGTACGGTCGCTACCGTTACTCAAGGCGGCTTTGGCTCAAGCAATTGCAAACCCAAGAGTACCACGCCGCGTGTGGTACATTTGTTCGGGCAATTATTCAGTGAAGCATACCTCTCATACCCAAATTATTTCAGACATTTCTATTATTTCTTTCTTCGCTGCGCTCCGATACCACACCGATGTCCTCTGATCTGGAGGCTGCTTCCGACAAGCGCGCGCCAGGCACCCCTGTCCAGCAGTTGTTTAAGCAACACAGGATCCGCGGCCCCTTGCAGGAAATGGACGGACCGACGTTTTCAAGATCATCTGGCCGGCGCAGGGGGGAGCGGCAGTAATGATCAACAGATCACTGCAGACATGTTTCGGAAGATCCTGGATGAGCAGCTGAACTCAATCAAACAAAATATTGAGACAATCAAGGAACATGGAGTTTCACGGCATGACCTGACACTCGCAACAGATCCCCTGATGGACATTGGCAATATTACCAACGACATCAAAGAAATGCAGAAACGCGCCACGAGCATGGAGAACGCCATGACTGAACGCGTGGCTAATATCGAAAACCAATGGGGATTATTCGAAGTCTGCACATGCGTACCACGTCCACAGGAAGTTTTCGAGACTGAGGCCGCCACGGCAGCATTCATTCGGGAGCAGCTCGACATCATGAACGGCCCCATTCCAAAGAATATGTATGCCCAAGGAGATTATCGAAATGCTTATCAATGGAATGGGGAGGAGCGAGACATCGCCACAGCCATAATCTGGAGCCGACGCCTGCAACCAAGGGATAACACAATGTGGGCGTCTCAAGACAGAGAGCAACTAGGAAGAACAGCCCGCAATTCCGCATTTGGCGTCAATTACTTGTTGAAGAATGACATGAACAAATGTACCATCAACGTCGACGATTGTACGCCATATCACGTGCATGTAGGCAGTCACCTAGAGCTTACGGCACATTTCCGTGATGCGACGTTCCACCGAAAATGGGAGGAATGGAGGAATTGTGAAGAGTTACAGAAGCATGCAACATTACTTGCTTTCAATGAGAAGTGCGAATCTATTGTGCGTCGTTTCGCCTGACCGCCTGGGAATGAAGGGTGCTGGTAGGGGCATTGGTAAATAGGAAATACAGCGGGCACTGGACACGACTTTTGAAGCACAAATGTTTGCAACGAGTTCCAGAGCGGACCGACAACATACGCTTTTGGAAACTATCAATTTTCCCAGCTTGCCCTTCCGGCGAAGCCGTTCGTTACTTGCAGACGCGAGGTGTTTCAAGATCGAGGTTGACTCGGATTCGGAGGCGGACACAAATCCCGTTCCCCCAACCGGTGGCAACACGAATACGGGCAAAGATACCTTCGAGCACTCATCGGTTCTTGTCCTCCCGTTGTGTTCAAATGGAACTGCTACGTTATCAACGCCAACGCACGCAAGATTGGGCGGCGGACTCGGAAATTACACCTGCATAGGTGGCGATACCCCTTCAGGCTTACAAGTTGCGGGCTGCGGCCAGGAGGGGGACAGACTACGCTTGCGTGGTTCCCGGAACCCGAGAAGCAACGTGGCAACACCAGAGGAAATCAACTGGAGAAAATGTACAATGCTTCTCGCAGTGCTCTCCAGGACCCGCCTCTTCCTCCTCCTAACAAACCCGCCGTGCAAAGGCAGAAATCTATAATATGGATGGGAATCGTTTTGCATTGCCTGGCAAAGATACACAAGAGCGAACTTGCATTGGAGTTGGTTTCATCATTGCGCCAAAATTTCGACGCCAAGTTAAAGCATATCAGCAAATATAACATCGCTTGGCATTGATCAGATTGAACATTGGCGTGGGGGCATTGGCAATCCTTACTGCGTACGCACCACACCATCTCTGGCCACTCCCGGAGAGGCGCCAATGTTACACTGTGTTGGATTCAGCATACCGTTTTTTCTTGGAGATTTCAATGCACGAGTCGGCGTTGCCCAAGCTGAGGAAGACGCTGTCTTGGGTGATTTGGGATGGGGGCGATACGCACAACACAAAGTTGAGCAACCAAACCTGGAGCAGACGGAATTCTGTACTGCTGGATATGTACAAGTTGCACACGCGTCCGTGCAACAACCTTTGGAGGAGAAAACCACTTTCAGAGAAGCAGGATCGTTGCCAACGGGGGAGATCACGGAGGAACACGTGTATTGGATGTGTTGCTCTGTGACGCGCTTTCGAGAAAACAGATAGCGACGCTGAGGAGTCCTCGAGAAGCCGCGCTCGCCACATATAATGACTTGGGAGGTGCAAGGATGGGGCTGCCAATTGAGCGCCAAGCATTGAGACTTGCCGGGCCAGGACCAAACAATAACGCCATAAAGGACCCTGAAATATTGAAAGCATGTGTTGGAACTTTCTCGGCATCACTATCACCGTAACCAGCCGCCGGTGGATTTGCACTTGCGAGCTGCCGGACCACCAGGCAGACATGAACCAACCATGAATTACACAGCGCACCCTTGATCTGATATACTGTCGTTCGACGGCCCACGCGGCCAACAACAAACATGAAGGAAACATGCAGGTGAAAAAAATCCGAAATGCGTGCAAATGTGCAAACAAGACAAAACGGCATGGATCGAGTAACACATTGCGACCCCCAGTTGGAACGCTGTGGAAAAAAAAACAGTGCCAGCCCAAACCACGACGTCGAGGTAGGCTCACGAATCTGCGAGGCTAGTTGGTGGATAGTACGCAGAGAACCAACACGATGGCATAATACCTGGAACAAGTGCACTGGGAAGAAAACTAGCCGAGCTGCTGGATGAAATTCCCGTCGGAGATCCACTCCCAGCTTGGGAACCAGAATTCACAATCGAAGAGGTTGGCAAGGCAATCGCATACCCCAAGCGCGGAAAAAAGAGGGATGGACACCATACTGGCAGAATATTGGAAAGCGACTTCTTCAGACCTGGGAAGGTTTGATTGGACCACCGAGTTATACAATCTGTGATGGAAAGAGCAAGCTGTTCAACAAGATTGGAAACAACCGATTGTTACAAATATTTGCAAAAAAGGAGTGCAGTGGACAATTGCGATAACTTTCAGCCGGTCAGCTTCCTGCGCGTGGTGTACAAATTCGTGGCATCTCTCATGTTGAAGCGATTGCAAGACGCTGGGGCCGAACACATATTATGGACCTCGCAATTTTGATTCCAGCGGGGGCGTGGAACTTCGGGCGCTGCGCGCGCCGCGCGTCGAACCATTGAGTTGGCGTACGCGAGCAGAAACGGATGCACAACTTGTTTGGTGTTGGACTGGACAAAAAACGGTCGAACTGTTAAATGGCGGGGCCCCGCTGGAGACCGTAATGACGAAAATATGGAAGTTACGCGGATGCGTGGGGGAAGCGCATCCTGGGGCCCCTTTTCCTCAACGCGGCTCAAACAGAAGGGCCTGCGGGCATGCCATGCATTGATGGCGTCCGAATCGCTCAAGATCCCGAGCACGCTGCCTGGCCGAACGGGGGGCGGGAGGTGAGCCCGCTCCTCCTCGGACGCCCCTCGGGTCACCACTCCCTCCAGGGTCCTAGAAAGTGAAGCTAAAACCCTCTGTGCCTCGACGCATTGCCGCGGAGGTCTAGGCTCGCGCCCATGGCGCATCTAAGCAGTACACCGCTCAAGGCCCTACTCGGACCACACCCCTTGATCTCGCGGACCCAAAGGCTGGAAACAGGGAGTGGTCGTCCACCAGGTATACTTGACCTGGCTCTGGGTGGCACCCGTCCTTCTGCGGTCGCCCTTCTTAGTCTTGGTCTTCGCTGCTGGCTCGCTCGACCCCTCGATCGGAGCACGACGTGCCCCCCCGCCGCCGCCGCCGCGCGGCAGGGCACCCGTGGGGCGCCAGATCGGCCTCGCACGCTGACAAAACCAGCAGATCAGGGAAAACCCTCGCACAGCAAGCAGGGGCCCTAGGCCCACGCCCGCCATTAGCACCGCCAGGCTCTCATTGTAGCCCTCAGTCGCGACTCCCAGCGCGGTCGCTGGAGTCAGCGCGCTCTCGTCCATCTCCCGCGGTGCTTCGCGCAGCTCGGTCGAGCTCCCCTGCGCCGCTGCGGGGAATGGCGCGGCCACTGCAAGCAACGCCATCAGCAGGTTCGAATGGGCCTGGAAGTCGGTCGGCATGGCCCCGACTCCAGCTACCCTCGAGGCCCCTGGCACGGGCGCCCCCTTCAACCCGCAGCTCTCGCGGAGCCGCTCGAGGCGTGTCCTCGGCAGCGCCTTTGTGCCGGGATCTGCCAGGTTGTCGTCGCCAGCCGCAGGCTCGATGGTGATGACCTTCTTGGCCGCCAGCTGCTGCGTCCAAAGCGTCTTGGTGGCAAGGTGCATGATCCGCCCAGTGCCCTCGCGCCTCTCCAGCGCTCGCGCGCTCGAGCTGTCGCGCCGTCAGCTCACGCGCACGCTGTAGCCCATGAACGTGAAGAGCGCCTTCAGCCGAAGCCCCTCGCTGAGACCTCGAGCTCCAGCGTGCCACTCGGCTTCGCAGCTGCTAAGGGGCTGCGCGTCCTGT